AACGTTAAAACACATGTTTTAAACTTTTATCCACATTTGTGGATAAAAAAATCTAGAAATTGAAATGGGTCTGAAAACAAGCCTACCATAGCAGATAACCCATCCCTTCAAGTATTCTCCAACATGGAAATAAATGTGTATAATCAGTTTACACATTGATTGGGTAAGTGGAAAAAGCCTTATAAACATGGCATATTTTCATAAAATTTTCAAATATAAAAAAGATAACTCCCTTTTTAAGTGAACGTATAGAAAGAATTGCTGGAGGATTTCTTTTACTTTTTTTGCCAGCCATAGTCTACCCAATAAATGAATTGTGTCTTTATGATGGCGTTGCCCATCGACTAAAAAGTTATGACAGAGATATGACAGTGTCCGAAGCTCAGCAGTCAATGCAACAGGAATAACCAACTTCAAGGAGGCTGCTCTAGCCTCTAGCCTCCATCGTAATGATGCAGCCCCCTGTTGGTTCTCACATCGTATAAGCTTATTAGCTTGCATGATTTTTACTTGCACTGGACTTAGTGTATTTTACTGTAAATTGACAAGTGCTTTGTCCACACATGGCCATTCCAGCAATTCATGACACTCCTTGTAGTTACTCGCCTCACCTACCATCCCAGTATAGCTTCCTGAGTGAGCTGCCAAAGGGATTACCCAACCAAGTACCAAGTACCAAGTATAAGAGGGTCCAGAAAGCTCGATCCAAAGACAGCCCGATCACGGGCAACCCGACCCAATACCCTGGAAAACTCGACCAGGTCCAGGGTGGGGTGTTTTTGAGGACAGCTCGACCCACTGTCACTGACTTTTTTCCCTCAGAAAAAATATAGATCTAGAGATTGGTAGATCTATAGTACAGCTAAGAATGATGATATGATATATAAAACATGATAAAATAGGGTTAGGGTTAGCGTGGGGATTAGGGTTGGGTTAGGATTAGGTTTAGGTGGCTGTCGCAAAAGTTCTTTCTAAAAGTAGGTCAAGCTGTCAGCTGTACTGTACTCTGTAGCACCCCACCCAGGCGCGAAGGCGGAGACCGCGACCGAGCTCGCAGCCCTAGACCCGCGGTTGGACTAGGCATAGACTCTAGGGCCTACCCCATGGGCCCCGCATTCACAACCCAAACATTGGCATGAGCCATGATTGACACAGTCAGTGGAAGCTCACTTAGGGGCTATCCATTTACGCGCATAACAGGTTAAAATCATTATAAATATTTATATACAAAGATTGGTTAATTTGATACTCACGACCGCACTTTGGTAAACCACCAACAATGACAATGACAATAAGACCCTAAATCTACTGATTCTCGATGTTACGCTGTCGCCATATACGTTCCAGCGACTAGTCTTTGTAAAATTCGCTTTAAAAGTTTTTATTTTTGTGCAAATTCTGAAGAAGAAAAAACATCACAAAACCAGAATCGGCAAGGAAACTCAGGGATAAGGTACCAAAATAAGACAAAACCATATGAAAAATATCCACGAAACCATTAGTAGGTTCGGTGTATGTGTGTGTGTGTGTGTGGGGGGGGGGGGGGGGTGGAGGGGGCGGAGGCAGTTGCGTAGTGGTCAAACACGTTTAGGGGGCGGGGCACATGCAAAAGGAAAAAAAAAAAAAACAGCTTTACCAGCACTCTTACATACCTCATTTGTGACACATATACATACACATTGATATTTATATAGCGCCTTTACATAAACATGCTCAAAGCGCTTTACATTAGTAAATAAAAACAGAATAATTATTTTGCTCTCCAAGTGCAATACATTGTAAAAATAACAATTACAAAGAAAACAAATAAGTTTTGAGATTTCTCTTAAATGATGCGACCAAAGAGCCACCAAAACGAGCCAAAAGAGCCACCAAAACTTTGCATAGAGTTCAATGCAATACAAATTAAAGAGTGTAATTTTAATGCTAGCAAGCTTGAAAAGTAGCCCCCGAAATTGTTTTTTTTTCCTGTCCCCCCCCCACCCACCCACCACTAGTGAGAGAGAGAGAGGGGGGGGGGGCTCGAGCTCCTCGAGTCCCACCGTCCCGCGGTCATAAAAGTCATAAAAGAGCCACCAAAACTTTGCATAGAGTTCAATGCAATACAAATTAAAGAGTGTAATTTTAATGCTAGCAAGCTTGAAAAGTAGCCCCCGAAATTGTTTTAATTTTTTTCCTGTCCCCCCCCCCCACCCACCCACCACTACCTCTCCAAAAATCTCTTCCATAACTGACCCTTATATAGGCCAAGCCTGATTACGTCCTTCACATGAAAACACGGTTTCATGAGCCTATTATCTTCTTCTTCTTTTTTGTTGGGGGGGGGGGGGGGGCCGGGACTAATTTTGTCTTGTCAGAGAATTTCAGAAAGGGGAAAAAACAAGACTTTCAGAACATGTCACCCGTTTGATTTTCTTCTTCTTTTCTTCTGAAATGCGTCGATTTACAAAATCTGTAATCTAGCTACTCCTGCATGTAGGGGGATAACGGGTTCCCCTTCATTAGTAGTCCACGACCGGCCTTTTGCCCCAAGTAAGTGAAACTTTTGGGGGTCAGAACGAAATCCGAATCACAACCAAACCAAGTAGCATAATGCAGGAGCGGCGGGGCGTCTTCCAAAATGGTGGGGGGGGGGGGCAACAAAACAAAGGGGCACATACAAAGGGAAATATCAAAAACCACACACAATTTTTAGACATTGGTATAAACCCCTACATCGTCATGATTGTGATTTCACTACCAGGGATGACATCAATATTAGTTTATGTCTTTTGAGCGAGCGAATTGGGAATCTATTGAAGGAAAAAGGCCTGGGCCGGTAGAATCGGCCCGTGGATCCGCGACTGGGTTCTGACCCCCTCCTTGAGTAGGAAGCATTTGCAACTTTAGAACCACATTAGGTGCATTTTCAGGCACTACCTGGAGTAATATTACGTAAAATTGCTTTCTTCTACCCCCTCCGAGAGTAGGAATCTTTTGCAATTTGAGAACCACATTTGGCGCATTAATGTCCACCGGCACTTCCTGGAAAAAATAAGGCCTTCTGATTGGTTAGAAGTTAGAGAAAAGTGATCTGTCACGTCGCAAGAATACCGACACAGCGGACCCGACACAGCAACATAATTATCTATGCGTATCTTTCTTGCCCCTCGACGTGGTGACTCCACCTAACATCCCCACTCTCTTTTACTCCCACCCCTCTTTTCTCAGGGACTTACCCCCCTCTCTCTCTCTCTCTATCTCTCTCTCTCTCTCTCTCTTCTCTTTCACCCCCCCCCGTTTCTTTCGTTTCCTTTTCTCTTCTTTTTTCCTTTTCTCTTTATCTTCTTTTCTTTCTTCTCCTTTCTGTCCTTTCCTTCCTCTTTTTCTTTTTTCCATTCTTTCTTCTCTTCTCTTTCCTTTGTTTCCTTTCTTTTTTTTTTTCTTTTCTTTTCTTTTTTCTTTCCCTTTCCCTCTCATTTTCCCCTCCCCGTTTCCTCATTTTTCCCCGACAAAAAGCGCAGTTTTACCGCCAATATCATCCTAACAGATGGGGGGGGGGGGGGGTGTTGCACCCCCTCCCCCATGATCCCCTTTAGCGACGACCCTGGTTATTATCTATTATTATTATTTTTTTTAATACAATTCCTCATGCTCTCGCAACTCTGTTCTATCGTTGTTTAATTCTCTTTCATTTTTTTCCTTTCTCCTTTAACTCACAACAAATTCTTTCTTTCCCCTTTTTTCCATCTCTTTGTTTTTGGTTCTTTTTGTGCTTTTTTTTTTTTTGGGGGGGGGGCTACACCCCTGGAAAGATATATTATGCACACTGCAAAATTGCGTGCCCCCAGCCCATTTCCCGGTAAAAAAAAAACACCTTCTTACATGATATCACCCCCTTTCTTTTTTTCCCCTTCTCATTATTCTCCTTTTCCCCCTTTTCTCTTTTCCGTCTTTTCTCTCCTCTCTCTTCCCCTTTCTTCCCTCCCTCCTCCTTTTTCTCCTCTCCCCTTTTCTCTCCTCCCTCTTTTCTTCTTATTTTTCTCTTCCCTTTTCTTTCTTTTTCCCCCTCCTTTTTCCTTCCCCCTCCTTTTTCTCCCTTTCTCCCTTTTTCTTTTCCCCCTCCCCCCTTTTATTTACCGGGGGACACGTGCCACCTGTGCCCCCCTGCATGAATCCGCCACTGCGTTTAAAAATTAAAAGTAGATCCACGAACATGCGTTTAGATTGTACTCAATTGTCAAACATTGTTGAAAATAAGATGGCAATGTAATGGAAAATAAAACTTGTTATTTTACAGTTTTAAAACGGAACTTGCCTGTATTAATTCACCTTTTTTGACCACTTATTCCTACCTAACTTTACTGTATCCATATTAATAGAGCCCTAGAGTCATAAATTATTTTGGATATTAAAAAAAAAGAATCAATCAATATTTATATAAATTGCTCTACAGTATTTGTGTTTCTATATATATTTTGATATGCCTATGCAACATTGGAGGTCTCGTGGTATAGTGGGTCAATGATTGAGGTTCGAATCTCAGGTTTTAATTCAAATTTGCCATTCCTCACCCAGGTGTATGGGTATAGCTGGCAATTTCATGAAGAACTTCTTTTTAAAATATTCTTCTAGTCTTGTTATTATCATTATTATCATGGTTATTATCATCATGGTTGTATTATCAACATAATCGTTGTTAATTATCATTATTGTTATTATTATTGTTATTATTATCATTAGTATTACTATTATTATTATTCATTTCTTATATTGTTATTATCATTATTATTACTATTATTATTATTCATTTCTTATTTTGTTATTATATCATCATCATCATCATCGTTATTGTAGAAAAAAATATACATAAACCTGGAAGACAGGTTAAGGGCGTGACCTAGTTTTTTCTTGGTTCGTTTCACGAAAAAAAAACATGCGCAGCGTGTACACAGTACACTGACTTTTCACGACCACACAGTTGATACAGCTGGCAGCGCGCGATGTGTATCAATATAGGCCTAATCATCATATCAATCATATGACGGCGTTACGAGGTCCGAGGAAAAGAAATAAAAATATAACGGTATGTATGTTGATCTGTACGGAATACTTTGTATTTATCACTTAATCTATATATGTAACATTAGGTACCTAGGCTATAGATCTACTTTGTAGTCGTACTTGTCAGTGCAGAAAGTAGATTACTAGGTCTAGTGCTGCCAGCTGCGTCCAGCTGTGAACTGGTGTGTACAGTTTGTATGATCTGATTCTAATGTGATGATGATGGGGGCATGGTTGTGTGTCCGACGTAGGCCTATACCACTTTTGCTTTTGGCTTTAACGTGATGTATGCGTAAACTAGCAATTTTTTTATAATATGAATGCTTTATAATATTTACACAAACACACACGAGTGATCCGAATGCATACGTTCACACACAGTGTGTACTGCTGGTACGAAGGCATGCAACATGTTGGTCTAGCCTTAAGGGCTCCCTGGAAATGTTTTTTATGATATGTTATTCCAGGGAGCCTTAACCGGGTCCCATAGCAATGCAGGGAGAGGCAGAGCTACCAAGTGTCACGCCTTAGGGGTGACGTCACGCATTTCGAGGGTCTGAAAACGCTCTCACGCACGATGTGTGTGCTAGATTTCGGAAAAATGCTATACCTTATACGTGTGTTATACCCTCTCCCAGCGCGCTCGCGCGCTGATTCATGAAAATGTCACGCATTGCTGATCTTTGAACTTAGCGTCTATGCCTATGGGAGAGGTATGTAAACAAAACCTAAGATGTGTCCCAAATCACACTTTCCCGCACCCGACCAATATTGAACAGTGGCCTTGATGAATTTTATGTGACTTGTAATCGTAATTACCTCCGGAATATCATAATTGGAGGTAAAAATAACGAAATAAGAGCAAATTTCTTACCAGACCGATACAGCTTAGCTCCCTTTTCACGTGTAGCGTGTGACTTTACGATCTCTACACAATGGTGTTGACCTCTGACTGGCACTTCGTAAATGTGCTGCTGCCGTATAATGCGCTGAATAACACTCATACAGCGCATTATACGGAAGCATCACAATCACGGAAGTGCCAGTCAGAGGTCAACACCATTGTGTAGAGATCGTAAAGTCACACGCTACACGTGAAAAGGGAGCTAAGCTGTATACAGAGCGCTGCCATTTTGTTTCGCTGGACCAATAGAGATCGTGACACTGAACACGGTAGAAAAAGCAGCGAATCGATCCTAGTATGCCAGCTAGGCGCCTAGTATTACGTAGACATAATACTAGGTACACACGCGCCAACAGCGGGCGCTAAGTGTGGCGAGATTGTACACACGCTGTTGTACAGTTCGAAAAAGGAGCTGGCATGTGCGCCTAAAATCGATCGATCGCTGACATGACTGAAATGTCTTCTTCGACGTCGGTACTACTCAGCCTGTATCTGTATCTGTATCGCTCCGTCAGGAATATGTTTAGTTCTGACACATTCAGCTAACTTTAGTCTGCTTGTCTAAGTTTGAATTTGAAGTTGGTAAATCTAAACATTTGATAATTTTTTGTATAGACCCTATTTTCACTAGTATTTTGCATCAAGTTTATCGCGTCCCGTCCGTATATTTTTGAGTGGTTATCAGTGGCAAAACGGAATTTCACAGAATTCCAGATTTTTCTGAAACGGAAAAAGCCATTTTTTAAAACGGAAAATCAGTGTCCCTAGATATTATCTCAAAATTTTGACTTGATAGGTAGTTCGACTCCTCTGGGTATCTGGCTGACCACTTGAAATTATAATTTGAAGCAGTCTTTGATGGGAAAAGGGGTGATTCCCCGTCCTAAAATGAGTTGTCCATTTTGTATCGTCGATTCAACATTTCGAAGAGAAAGTAAGCATGCGCGGTAGCGGCGCAGCAAATATGAATATTCATGCTATAGTCTAGAGCGCCGTTCCCTCAAAAATGCTGAATATGCATGGCTCGAAACAACAGAGCGGCCCTACACAACCTTGTGCATATTCAGAATTTATGGGAAGGATTTTAGCATACAAAATCGAGTGCGCGATCAGACACCCTAATAATGTAAAATATGATATTGAAATCAGTATTATCACCAAGCCTTAGGCTTATCTGACACCCATAGACCTGCGCGGAGAGGCAGGTAAACAAACCCTGAAATACGTCCAAAATCACCCCTTCCCCCACAGTGGCTTTACCGTTTGCTAGAGGACTCTTCTTTCTTCTCATAAAAAGCATTTTTAAATCAGTTTTAAAAAAAAGGTATGAAATGTCAGATTTTGCTATCGGAGTGGTACTGTTACTGGTACTACTTGGTAGCGCTTTGTTTTTAGGTGTACCGGTACCTAGATTCCATGTGTTCCTGATGTCTGATGATAATTAATAAAGGCGCCATTTACATGACAAAAACGCTGACCTCTTTAATAGTCATACAAAAGTTTGATAAGCTGATAAGCTGATAAGCGGAAAAAAATTTGCAACGACTCAGCCAGCCGCTGAATAAGCGGGGGGTAAGAGCACATTTTTATTTATTCTTTTGGTATGCGGTGTGGTTTGGCGGGAAGTTTTTCATAAACCGGGAGATTCTACATAGTTGGCGAGAGAGCGGGAGGAAGGCGTGGTGGTGGGAATCTCCCGCTATGAGCTTTTGGGGCGGCGGGAGAATGAGTGTGGTGGCGTGAGACTCCCTCCAAAAGCGGGAGGGTTGACAGCCCTGAGTAACGCATACAAAGGCGCATGCTCGGAGCTCATGAATTTATCGAACTCCCTTTTTTAAAATGAATAGCAGTGTATCAGATAAATAAAATATGAAAAATAAGGCAAAATAGAGCAGTGGTCTCGTAATCCGGTGACCTGGGTTCGAAACCAAAGCGATGCGCTAGTGCCCTTTGGTAAGGCATTAATCCTCTCTACCAGGTCCATCGGAGAGGACCTAAAGCTGTCGGCCGTTTGGTTGCTTACTTACAAGCATTTATGCTTTCTTTGCAGTCAGGTAAAATAACCATAACCATAACCATATAAAATATTGTATTTAATTGATTGCTTTTGGGTCCTTAGGAAGCTTAGCTTAAAGCTTGTGTACGGTACCGGTAATCACAAATTTCTCAATATTTAGCTCTTTTTTCTCAGGATAAAAAATGTTTGATAAATTAATCTTTTTGTTATGAAATCACTGTTGTTTATCCATTTTACAGATCCAGTTTGGGCATATGCATGTAGGCAGCCTTGGTCTTAATACAAGAGGTCTGTGCGTGGACTTAAAGTTTACGGTCCAGGTCTTAATCTTGGTCCATCTTCCTCAGAGCCTTGGTCTACTCAGGGTAAGTCTTGGTATAAAATGGGTAGAGGATAGTTCCTGGGTCTCAATATTACCTCCTAAAGCTAGTGCGCATGCGCTGTATGCGTGAACCACTTTTGTACAGCCTACAACAGGAAACAGAGCTTGCCAAGAATGAGATATCTTCCAACTTTTCCTTCATTTCTTTCTTTTTCTCCTTTTTTCAATATTGTTTCATTCTTTCTCAATTTGTTTGTTTGTTAGTGTGTTTGTTTGTTTGTTTGTTTCTTCTTTTCTAGTTCTTCTTTCCTTTTCTACAATGCCATATGCGAGAAAAACTAATTGCAAGCATTTAAAAAGTCATTTCATGACGGCTTTATACTTCAGATCGTCTTCAACTCCCTCTTATGATTCCCTCCCCTTAACCCACCTCTATTCACATTCAAAACATATATTTATATTGGATTTTTTTTTATTATTGGAAGGTAATATTGAGACCCAGGAACTATCCTCTACCTATAAAATGAGCTAATGTTTATTCAAAGGCAAGGGCCATTTCACGCTGCAGAAAATGTGATTTGAAAAACCATCAGCTTTGTGAACTACCATTTACTGTACACTACCGTATTTGCCGGCGTAAAGGCCGCAGTATTTTTTGGAGAGAAAATATCAAAAAGTCTGGGTGCGGCCTTTGCGCAACAACTGAAAATTCAGCGGTTATTATTAAACAGATGCATGGAATTCGGAATGAAGGACTGTCTATAGCGAGAGTGCGAAGTTTTGGGAACACACAGACGAATGCCAGAACGATTGTAAATGAAACAGGAGTGACGTGGGTGTGTGGGGTCACGCATTATGTTGTGAACTTTTAGAAGAATGCGTTTCTCATATAACGTACTAATAGGGGGGAGGTCTTTTTGAATTACTTGGGCAATTGGGCTCGTTGGGCAATTTTCCTTGGTTTTTTTTTTTTATTGCTTTGAGAGATTCCCAAACATGCACAGTAAATTGAATGTAAGAATGCTTTGAATGAGCGACTGATAGAAGGGGACTTGAGTGCTGTTATCAACTCTGAACTCCTTTAGTTTTCTCAGAAAATACAATCTTTGGCTTGCTTTACTAGCTACAATCTGTGAGTTTTGTTTACATTCAGGATCAAATGACGACTATCGCACCAGTCAACAAACTGTTTTACTTGCTCAAAATAAACCCTAGCATCGTTCAATAGAAATGCACTAATGACAGTATCATCGGCGTATTTGATTATTCAATATTGCACAGTTGGATTCTGAAACCTTGCATTCGCTTGTATATATCAAAAACATCTCTTGGAGGAAAATAAAATTCATTTTTTCTTTTCGGCTTCTTATACACAGATATTTATGGTAGTTCTGTCATCATTCAATATTTATTATGATTATGTCTTTTAAAAGTATGAATTATGTTTTTAATTAATGGATTTTTACAAACGTGTTTTTAAATCTAAATACATGAAGAATGAATTAAGTTAATTGTGTTGCCTATTTGCATGTAAATGAATACATCAACACATATGGTCAATTAGATTCTTTACCGAACCAAAAGTGGAGAAAATTCGAACGATGGTCATTTTGACAGCAAGAAACTTTTGCTGATAACTTACTGATTTTATGCCGTGATTCTGTTGACGCTTTTTATCCCAGTGAAAAAATACACAGGGGCTCGGGGAGAATTAGCCCCCGAAATGCTCAAAAGAGCCCTCTAAATTTGCATAGAGTTCAATACAAAACAAATTAAAGAGTGTTATATTCATGCAAGCAAGTTTAAAAAGTAGCCCCCCAAATTTTTAAAGTATTTTTTTCTCTGTTTTATCCATGCAAAGTTCTTGTTTGGTAGGCTAAACGTGGTATCATTTCTATTTTCTGTGTCTGAACAGGTAGGAACGAGAAGATGAGTATCTCCAGCATGTCTAGCAGCATGGATAGGAAGAGAAAGCTGAGCTTTATCGATTCAGGAGGGTGAGTTCATATTCGTGTACCTAATCTTGATGACTCATTTGTCTTTTTTACCACAGGCAGTCACTGTTCTTGATAGCCTGTACTCTACCTCATCTCTTCCCTCTCAGAGCTCCTCATGCTCATGCTGCAATCATAATTATAAACCTTTAGCTCAGTCAGGAGTCCCATGACTTTTACAGGTCGATCTCCTGTCTGATTATCAAGATATTTATGATTGGAAAATCGAAATCAAATTTTGCGTTTGACAAACGGTTTTCATAACACTACAGTCTATTTGGGAAAATGAGTATGGTTAAGCGGTCACTCAAAGATTTTACTTTTCCAAGGCACTTTATGATATTTTGAAGCGCATTTTTTTTAGGGCCTTAACCCTACGTTAACTGGGGGGGGGTCAATTTGACCCCCCCCCTCTAGAAATTTCGTGACTACTCCGAAACCGCGGCAGATATAAAATTTTCCTTTCATGACTTTTTACTTTCGAGTCTTACGCATCTTTTAAAACAATTTTTTTGAAAATCGGACCTACGGTTACAAGGTCACGTGACCTTTTGTCTTTGCATGTCAGCCCGAAAATCGCTCATTTTCGTGATTTGTGTACAAAACATATGTAAAAGTCATTTTTCCTAAAAATAGATAAAGCATTGGTTATTCAGTCTTGTTTAAAGTTTAGATGTTTGTTTTGGGGTCAAAGTAGTTGAATTGTAGTTATAAATGAAATAAAACAACAAAAACAATAAAATACATAAGTTAAAAAAACAATGAAATACATAAGAAATTATAAAAACAAGAGATAACATAAGGAATAACCTGGCTCTTCCAATTTTTTGTATTGTATTATTATTCCAAATGGTCTAATAAATATATGTAGTGAAAAAGAATACATAAACATGAATAATCTATGATTTATGGGCAGAAATGTGAATTTGATGACCTTATTTGCATAAATTACCATAAATATGCAAATGAGTGAATTTTTCAAAAATTTGAAATTACCATAGTATTCTATACACTTCACTTGACATGCATGCAAATTTTTGCGGCGATCGGCGGTGAAACGGCCGAGATCTTAGGGGGGGGGTCAAATTGACCCCCCCCCAGTAAAAACCTGGTCTGAAATAGCCCAGTTAAAATAGGGTTAAAGATGAAGTTGAGTTCTGGTCATGCGATTGCATTGTGAAAGAAACGGTGTGGAATTGACTAAAAAGGTTGATCATCTAGCATATAAGAATTTGTGTGTATTGCAAGGTTCTAGAATCATCAAAATGATAAGAAATTTGGCCAAGTCTTGGTAAAGTTACAAACACTGTACACAGAAAGATGTATATGGGACTACACGAACACATGGCGTAAAAATCCTACCCCCCGAGTTTTACGATGTTACTGAAATATTTCGAATATAAAGGCATTTGAAGAGCCATGTTTTTCAGGGAACATGTCTTATCTGATGATCTTCCACACTTGCATGATAAGAATTATTACGCTCACAAATTATTTTTCACCTCTTCCCAGAACTCAACCTTCTCTTTAATATTACACCATATCACAGACACTGATAACACGTACATGTACATGTAGGGCCATGCATCTCAGATTTAAAATTTAACATTGTTGCTTTATGTTGAAAAATTGTTACCATTCCCCTAAAATCAAAATACATACAGCAAAATACCAGATTAAAGAAAAGAATGTGGCAAGAAAAGAAAAATCAGTAAGATTGCTCAAAATAATTGTACTGTAGGAGGCATATCCAAATATATTCAGCGTAACACAACACAATCATGAATGCCTGAATGGAAATATCAATACAGAAACTGTACATGTACGTGTAGTTATGTTATGTTCTTGTAAATTTGTGATTAAAACAAGATCATGTGATCTCTGTTCACTTGGTTTAGAAAGGATACTAAAGCCATGTCAACTTTTGAAAAACGAGAACGGATGTACAAATAAAGCATTCTGTTGGATATACATGTATATTTATCTACCAGTAGGAGGTATATTATTCATAGAACAAGTAGCTCATGATCTGAAAGAGATTTGCCCTTTTGTAAGAGATTTGCTGCCCTTTAGATAGATAAACAGAATCAAGTAAAGTGTCTTTTTCTGCTTCTCATGATTCTATATAGAGGTACATGTAACCAAACAGGGACACCATATTCAAGAATTGGGTGCCAGTTTAGAACATGTTGTACAATAACCATGCTTTATAGAATAATTAAGTATGCAACTTGTGGTCATACATGTAGGTATATGATTGCCAATGCGTGTGCTGGTTGCTATGCCCACTTTTAATGCAATTCCCAACCTGAAGATGAGGTCTGAGAAAAAAAAGAAAAAGAAAGGGGAAAAAAAATTTACAGGGAATTAATTACCCAATGAAGCTAATAGTCTTTAGCAACTCGCAAATAGAAGATACATGTACATGTAAGCCCTCTTTGCCAAAGATGATAAAATATTGTTTACCATTGTGATTGAGAATACGCTCGATCATAATATTTTACTCCAAAAACTCTTTTTATGGTATTCAGGGCCAAGTCCTCTCATATCTTAAGGATTATTTAACAAATAAAAAACAATATGTTAATTTAAACTGTCTTAATTCGGATTTGTTTTCTGTTAATTGTGGTGTTCCCCAAGGCTCCATTTTAGGCCCACTTTTATTTCTTTTATACATAAATGATTCATCCAACACATCTTCTTTATTGTCTTTTATTCTTTTTGCAGATGACACAAATATTTTTTGCTCTCATAAGGGTCATTATTCATAAGGACCGCTATTCATAATCAAAGAAGAGGGTCGGTATTCATAATATTAGAAGAGGGTCGCTATTCATAATACGAAATCGGGCTCGTTATTCATAAGGGTCCCTATTCATAATATTACAAAAGGGTCGGTATTCATAACACAGAAAGAGGGTCGCTATTCATAATACGAAATGCGGGTCGCTATTCATAATACGAAATGAGGGTCGCTATTCATAATGCAAAATGAGGGTCGCTATTCATAAGGATTATTATTCATAAGGGTCATTATTCATAATCGATGAAAAGGGTCGATATTCATAATAGGACATGAGGGTCGCTATTCATAATAGGAGAAGAGGGTCGCTATTCATAATAGGAGTCGGGGGTCGCTATTCATAATATAAAATGAGGGTTGCTATTCATAATACGAAAAGAGGGTCGCTATTCATAATAAGAAATGAGGGTCGCTATTCATAATAGGAGTAGATGGTCGCTATTCATGATACGAAATGAGGTTCGCTATTCATAATAGAAGTATAGGGTTGCTATTCATAATACGCCCCCCCCCCCCCCCCCCCCCCGCGGCTACGTTCCTGGTCGTGTAGGGGGGGGGGGCGATATATAGCCCTGAATAGTTGTCTCTTTTTAAAGTAATTATATTTTATCTGTTATCTTTGATAATTATATAGAGCCAACCCCCGCTCATGTGGTGACGAAAAAAAAAGTAAAACATAACACACATCTCCTATTATGAATAGCGACCCCCTGCTCCTATTATGAATAGCGACCCTCATTTCCTATTATGAATAGCGACCCTCTTCTCCTATTATGAATAGCGACCCTTTACTCCTATTATGAATAGCGACCCTCTTCTCCTATTATGAATAGCGACCCCCTTCTCCTATTATGAATAGCGCCCCTCATTTCCTATTATGAACAGCGACCCTCCTCTCCTATTATGAATAGCGACCCTCTTCTCCTATTATGAATAGCGACCCTCTTCTCCTTTTATAAAAAGCGACCCCCTACTCCTATTATAATAATAAATAATAATTAACCGTTCTTGTATAGCGCATAACACATAGTATTAAAACATGTCCCTAAGCACTCTAGAGAAAAAACATAACAGAATACAAAGACAAGACATACTGGGTAACGGACAAAATGGATGAATTAAATGTTAAATAAGTGCGTCTTTAAAGCAATCTTAAACTTAACAATGGAGTCAATGTTTTTTAGATGTTCCAGGAGATTGTTCCATGAAGTTGAGGCAGTGTGAGCGAAGCTGCGTTCACCATATGACCTGGTCATCACTGGTGGAATAACAAACAATTTTTTCTTATTAGAACGAAGATTTCTCGAAGGTGTGTACAATGTAATAGCTCAATCAAATAAGGAGGCGCAAAATCATAAAAACATTCATAAGCTAACAACAATATTTTGAATAAAATGCGAGAGTGAATGGGTAGCCAGTGTAAGTCTCTTAAAATAAGAGACACAGGTTCATGTTTCCTAATACGATAAATAAGACGAGCTGCTGAGTTCTGCACAACCTGCATCTTCTGCATTTGACGAGCCGAAATCCCAGAAAGGAGGCTATTACAAAAATCAAGATGACACGCCACAAAAGCGTGAATCAAGCGTTCAGTAGTGTGTTTATCTATCACATTGCGAATTTTCCCAATTTTGTGAAGTGCAAAAGATGCTGATTTGCATTTCTGTGAAACAAAATTGTCCATAGTGAAATTATCATCAAATATCGCACCCAAATTGGAAATTAATATGAAAAAATTATTATGAATAGCGACCCTCTTCTCCTATTATGAATAGCGACCCTCTTCTCCTATTATGAATAGCGACCCTCATTTCTTTTTATGAATAGCGACCCTCTTCTCCTATTATGACTAGCGACCCTCTCGTCGTATTATGAATAGCGACCCTGATTTCATATTATGAATAGCGGTCCTTATGATTAATGACCCTTCATATGAATTATGAATAGCGACCCTCATCTCCTGTTATGAATAGCGGTCCTTATGATTAACGAACCTTATTTCTTTATGAATAGTGACCCTCTTTTACCATTATGAATAGCGGACCAGGAAGTACGGGAATTTACACGTTATGAATAGCGGTCCTTATGAATAGCGGACCTTCTGAATAGTGGTCCTTATGAATAGCGAATAGACCCCGCTGGCAGAAGGGCGTTAGCTCAAATTTCAGGTAAAACATGAAGCGTTAAGCAGAAGGGCGTTAGTACTAAATCGCCTCAGACTTTTATTAAACTGACTTATTTCCACACGAAAATTGTTGCTGTGAATTCTACTATAACATTTCTATTAGTCTTGGGACGGAAAGCAGTTTAAATATAAAACAAATTTTTAAATGCGAATATTTTGAAAAGTAGTTTTCAAGTCGCTTGCACGCAAACGCCCTTCTGCAACCTGGCCGACGATACGTTGATAATCAATCATGCATTGTTTTGTGTTTTATTCATTTTAGGGAGGACATGAGCGATGAAGATTTATCAAGTGAAAGAAACACCTCAGGAGATGACAGCAAAAAGCTCTCAAAGTATGTATTTCAGATTCAGTGTAAACAAATAAATAAGGAAAATCTGTACAGTATTTATATAATATTGGACGGCTCTGAGTGTGATACAAGAATATATTGTCATAGTAGGCGGTGTCACACAGAGGCCAAAAATCCGGATTTTAGTTATCCAGATTTTAGTTATCCTCTTAATTGCTGTCTGTCATCAATTATCCCATTAAAAATCCTATAATGAAGCAAGAAAATTCTCCCTTGAAAGGATTTTTCAATGGATTTTTTAAGGGATTTTTCTGTGTGACACCACCTAATGAGAGGAATAAACAATATTTATATAGCATCACAATACAATATTATAGTATTAATGACTGCTTTGAGAGAAATAGTTGTTTTATTACGCTCAAGGGAAGGTTAGAATTGTGCTATTCCCCGAGGCTTGCCGAGGGGAATAGCCCAATTGTAACCTTCCCGAGAGCGTATGAAAACAACTATTTCTCGAATATTAAAGCAGTCATTAATACTTTTATATGCCGAAAAAAAATAGACTAAAAAATAAAAAATAAAAAATAATTTACATTTTTGTCGAAGACGGGATTCGAACTCTTGCGTACAACAAGAGGTGTATCGAAAACCAACGCTTAGACCACTCGGCTATCGCGCGCCGTTAACATGCTTGGCAGTTTTCTCCAATATATACATTAAAATGGATTGAAAACGGCTCCGCGTGAGGGATGCTTCGCAAAAGCTCCATGAAACGGACCCTTCTTTTACTTTTGCAATGCATATTGGCACGAACTTAGATCAAGATCTATCGGCAGATGTTGTTTTTTTGTTTTTGAGAGTTAATTTTCGTCTTCATGTCAACAATGCAAGATAAAATTGTCGGTAAGATCGATCGAGATTCAATTGTATTGAAATTGCCGACCAATTTTTCGCACACGTATGGTATCCTCCATCGCTCAAACCATTTTTTAACATGTAAACCTATGGGGTAACCATGGAGACTGACCTATTTTTTTAATAACCATGGTTATTAAAAATATTGAAATGTTTTAAGCATGGTTACCGGGAATTTTACAGGAACAGTTGAAGTTTATGAATGCAATTCGACCAATCAGATGGCTGGATTTCTTAAGTGAGGTATGTAAACATCTATATAATATCATTATTATCTATATCAGGCTGACTAGCGAAATAACAAAATCTGACTCAATATTCAAGCAATATTGTATCGACAGATGACAGAGCAATACAATCATAATAATAATAATAATAATGTCAATTTATAAAGCGCACATATCCATTCTAAAAGACTGCTCAAGACGCCTCGTTGAATAGAATGTTAATCTTTCAACTCATGAAAATATTCGCACTATTGAACTCATAACCATTCATTATTTGTATACTATAGTATATTTAAGTAATATTGACTGCCTTCAGGGCAACACAACATATATCGCCTTAACCGAAGGTGAGGGTGATACATGACAAGTCGTATTGCCCTGAATTAGGCAGTCATTATTACTATTATGAACCACATTAGACATCTAGAGCAAACTAGAAACGCTTACTATCTTCCTATTGATTTGTATGTAAAATACAGTAGCCTACACTGCACAGGGTTTCCTAGCATGAAAAGTTGCAAAAACAATGTCAAACCAGCACTGTTCATCCAGTGCTTGACGAAAATTTTTGATACACCTCAAACAGTGTGCCTTTGGTGTGATTATTACGTCAAAATAGAGTGCGTGCAAAGTGTGCAGGTTCTCATACGTGAAATAGAGTCGCGCAAAGTGCGCAGGTTCTTATACGTGAAATAGACGCGCAATGAAAATTACAAAATACCCGGATGTTGGCTCTACATTATTGCCCAAGCATTTCGCCATTGACTTTTCTGATTGGGCAATAATATTTGTCCATTGGTTCACTGTGTAATAATATGTACTGGCAAATTTCACACAAAAGATAATTATTATTACAAAATCCCATTGAGTTTTCTGAGCGGTCAATAATATTCTTTTCGCCAGTTATGGTCATGTGATTGCATTGTGAAAGAAACATTGTGGAATCGATCAGAAAAGGTTGATCATCTAGCATATAAGTATTGGTGTGTACTGCAAGGTTCTGGAATCATCAAAATGATAAGAAATTTGGCCCAGTCTTGATAAAGTTACAAGCACTGTACACAGAAAGATGTATATGAGACTACCCCAAACGTGCGCGACACATGCGTTATTTCTATCAGGTCCAAATAGATATAATAATTTACCAAATATATTAATTAGTAGCGGTTTCTTTGCAAAATTTGTATGATCACGTATTAGTCCAAACATATTCTTTCATTGATTAGTGCAGTCTCTATAACTGTGACCAGAAAAATATGCAGTTCATATTTGTTTAATATGTATACATGTACATCATTCCAAGTGTCGATTCTTAGAGATATTTTAAAGATACTACATGTATGTCCCTTTTGCAGCCAACATCAAATTCTGTAGAACTTTGCAGGAATTATGAATATGTCATGTACAGTATGTCCTATCTGTGAAATTTAAACGTTAGCAGTGTGCTGATATTCAAATTATGCAAGGAAACCCTTTTACTTGCTAGACTTCACTGTCAGACACTATTGAGTGACTGACTGGCTTTAATTTTTCTTCTTTATTGGTAATAGCATACATAAAATGAGCTGTAAAGGGTACATGAGCATTTGTCTATTCTTGTAATGGCTACAATTAATCTGATTGAATCTTTGTGCCGCATAAAACGTACGACCATTCAGTACAATGGTCTGAAAATCGAGACTATTACTTACTGGCTCTATAGCTCTTAAGTCGATTCGAAAAACTAATAGTCGTTATTTTCCCACTTAAAGACATTTTCAAGCCCCCCTTTTTTAGGGAAATTCTAAATTAGTGTTATCTTTCAAATGCCGTTGGAATTTAACCTTTTCATTTTTTGGGCCTGAAAATGGGACATACATGTAGTACCTTTAACAAAATATCCCTGTTCAAGTGGATTTATTTTGGGAGTCAAAGGAAATTTACCTGTATAACAGCCTGTATCTATTTTTAATATGTGCAAGTCAGTAGCAAATTTCATGTCTGCGGTTTAGACTACCTGTAATCACAAGCCTAGAATCTTTATATTCGATTTGATTTGATGTTTATTTATTCCATATACTCTGATTCAAATGATTTTATTTCTCATGCAAAAAATAATACAAGAATAATTATATCACAAAAAATATGCAATTAAACGACAAATATAATGGAAAAAGCATGAGAAAAGAGTAACTAACTTAAAGCAGAGCTTGTTGAAGTTTTAGTTCCTCAGATGCTGTTTTACAATAGAACATGAACAAAGTATGCCTAACAATCAATAAATAGGCAAATATGTAGCTAAGAAATTCTAATTTTTTTAATTTTTTTTTTTTTTTTTTTTTTGGGGGGGGGGGGGATAAAAAAAACGAGATACATCAACATATTTACATTTACTTTCTTACAGCTTTAAATGGACAATGACAGGGGTCGGCTTAAGTATAGGCTTGAAGTGACGTCCTTTAAAATAATAATAATAATAAAGATAGATTTATTGAGCACATAATAAACCAAAGTTTCTCTATGCACTTTACAAAGTAAAAAAACGAGCAAGTACAAGTATATTTAAATAGTTACAAATTAAGAACGAAATATAAAGACCCTAAACTAAAGACATGTAGCTAAAAGAATTCATTGCAAGCAAAGTTAATACAGATGACAAATCAAATGGAGTAACATACTCAATGATAATACATAGATTAAATATAATGTCAAAAATTACAAATGAAACAGGCACATGTAAGTTTTAAGAAGGGTTTTGAAAGTCTGAATGTTTATACATGCAGTATATAAAATAATATACATGTACAGTAGTATAATATCTAATATCACAAAGATATTAATGATGTACAGTGTACACTGCATGCAGGAGATGCAATGATAGTAAGCATTATGATGTACATGTATCAGCGGGGGGGGGGGGGGGGGGGGGGGGGGGGGATTGTAATAGTGCATGCAGGGTATTTAAATTCTGCAGTGAGCTGTTGATGAACTCACACAGAGACTGTGCTGTCTGAAATATAGGAGATTTAAGCTTGTATTCACCAGTCAACAGGATGGTACAGGACAAGAGAGCCTGAAAATATCTCAAGCAATAGGCCATAAGAACAAGCATCATCTTTTTTTAACAACCCATAAAAAACGTTGGTGTTTGCTTATTCTGTTTTTGTTATTATTATTATGATGTGCATGTATCAGTCAGGGGAAGGTTGCTTCTCGTCTGCTACCTTAATCATCTCGCAGGGTATTTCAATTCTGCATTAAGCTGTTGATGAACTCACACAGAAACTGTGCTGTCTGAAATATAGGAGATTTAAGCTTGATTTATCGGCTTGTATTCACCAGTCAACAGGGTTTTTTTTCTTCTCTTTACCTCTTCAGAGGGACTTTATTGTTCCATTTCAAAATACATATATTTACAAAACAAGTAAAAGGAAACATATGAATTATATACAAGATCAACATAATTTCTTAAAATGATAATTTTTAACATTTCTAATACTTTCTTAAATTCTTCATTATCGAAGTATCTTATACTTTCTTTGTATTTCAAATAACATTTTAATGATGAAATAAAATTATTTATTAATCTCTTTGGATTGGTTGGTACTTCCCCAAAGTTCCGCTTTACGTAGTCTTTGTATACATGTATTTACCAGTTGAGCATAATTTATCAAAAAATTAAGTATGAAAGTAAAATTTATGTTATCTATTTTATATCCAATCAATAACATTTTTATATAAATTTCGATGTCTATTTTAAAGATGAAATATATCATTCTTGAGATAATTTTCCAAAAAACTCTTAAAAGTAAAGTCCAGTTATGGTCATGCAATTGCATTGTGAAAGAAACGTGGAATCAATCAGAAAAGGTTGATCATCTAGCATATAAGTATTGGTGTGTACTGCAAGGTTCTGGAATCATCAAAATGGTAAGAAATATGGCCCAGTCTATGTAAAGTTACAAGCACTGTACACAGAAAGATGTATATGGGACTATACGCACACGTGCGTGGCACGTGCGTTTATCTCTCACAGACCATGTAGATAAACTAATTTACCAATTATGTCAATTAGTAGGCGGTTTCCCGGCAAAAATGTTATCATCATGTATTAGTCAAAACATATTCTTTCACATGATTGGTAAAAAGAGCTTCCATTTCATTTTTTGAAATTGGGGCGTTTCCAATACTTGTCTTTACCTTTAATTAGTCAACAGGATGATACAGGTCAAGGGAGCCTGAAAATACCTCAAGCAATATGCCCATAGGAACAAGCATCATCTTTTTTTTTTTTACTGCTGTTTAAACTTCAGAACAACCCATAAAAATCGTCTTTTTCTGTTTTTGTTATTATTATTATGATGTATTAGTCAGGGGAAGGTTGCTATGCTACCTTAATCATCTCGCAGGGTATTTAAATTCTGCATTAAGCTGTTGATGAATATTTCACACAGAAACTTTGCTGTGTGAAGTATAAGAGTTTTAAGCTAGGTTCATCAGCCTGTATAAATTTATTGCTGAATAGCATGAAACAGTAATACATGAAGTCTTCAAATACATCAAACAATGTAATAGCAGAGCTGCCAACCATTCCTTTTTTTGCCGGAATTACTCCGTTTTTTCCTCCAAATTACGGTACTACACTGTACTTTTTTTCTTCATAAAATGTTTTTTTAATTTTTTTCAAAATGTTTGTGGAATGTTTGTTTTTTTTAATATTTTTTTTTTTTTTTACATACTGCACGTCAAACAACTGCCCTAAATTGTTGATTTGATCACAAATTCAATAGAAAACTAAATTTAAAACATACTTGAAGAGAAAAATATTCTCAAAAAGAATGAAATGCCGATAATACAAAAAAAATACCTGCTTGTATGGAAAAAAAAAAGCATGAGGAGTGGACATTTCTGCGTTGGAAGCGTGTCGCGCATGGATGTAAGTTTCGTTTTAATGAATTCCTTTTTTTTTGCCATCATGGTTCCTTTTTTTTGGTCACACAAGGTTGGCAGCTCTGTAATAGGCACAATCCAAACGCCATTTGGAAAAATCCTTGTTTTGTTTTTGTGACAGTCATTTACACTGTTTGAAAAAGCCCATAAACAAAACTGTTGGTGTTTGCTCATTCTGTTTTTTTTTTTTTTTTTTTTGGGGGGGGGGGGGGTGAGTAATGAGCATGCAAGACTTGTCCGTTTTGCATGGAAGGGACTACAAATGGAATCATTCACTTACATGTACATGTATGTTTTGAGAGCAGGCATTCGCACTGGAAAAAAATTGGTGAAATTGATGCCGGCGATAACAAAAATACCACACACCAGAATCCATAGGTTGGTTTTTTTTATTTGTGTTTTTCGTCAAGTTTACATGTACATGTACATGTAAGTTCATCTTATATGTGGATTTATTTATGGTGTCTTTAAATTAAAACCAGTTTGCAAAATTGTTGTATAGATGGCAGATTGAATCGATTTTCCTTTAAAAGACACATGTAGACAACACATGAGTTCAACAGTACACAAGGATTCCTGTAATTGTTTGACTGATTGAATGGTTTAATAATCATGGCAGCCTGTATGATGAGTATTTATGAAAACCATATGTCTGCCAATCAAGACCTCTGCAATAATTGGCTTAAGTCTGCTAGGGAGCTGTCTGAAACTTAGGATAAAAAGCTTCAACTGAACACCAAAGTTGGCAAAGTAGTTTATCTACAGTGTAAGCCCGACATGAGTAAAATGCTCATATTTCTGATATACCGGTACATGTAATTATTGATTTGAATATAGGCCCAGGGTATTCAAGTTCAAGTTCAAGTTCAATTTTATTTGATTCCAATAAAAGCATATACACATATAAACCAATACAGTACAGATGCAAATCGTTATACATGGAATCAAGGGTACCATAAAAGACCAAGGTGGTCTGGTCGAGATAGTCCCCTCATGTCACCGGGCATTGTGGCTCAGTGGTTAGAGGGCCCGCCTCATGAACGGGAGGTCGTGGGTTCGAACCCGGCCGAGTCATACCAAAGACTTATAACAATGGGACTTTCTGCCTTCTAGCTAGGCGCTCAGCATATTAGATTGGAGAAGGGTAGTAATAACATATTATGTTACGCAGGGCCCGCTTGAAGAGCAGTTTCATAACTGAAGTGGCTACCCTGGCCCCTGGGTAAATATAACATTATTATTATTATTATGATAAAAAGTTGAAAGTGCTCGAAGGCAAGAGGAGAGTACAATATATTAAAACATTTAGTTACATGAATATGCAAAAACCAAACAATAACTACAAAAAACAAAAACAATTCAAAGATTAAACACATACAATGATATACAAAAGAGAAAGACAAGACAACTCTAAACAAGGTACCGGTATTAAAGATAAAGGTGAGTTCTGGTCATCCAGCAAAGTACTGCAAAGTTCTGGAGTCATCAAAATCATAATAAATTTGGCCCAGTCTTGGTAAAGTAACAAGCACTGTACACAGAAAGATGTATACAGGACTACACAAATGCTGTCAGAGTTACTAACCTTGCTTTCCTAATCTTTCTATGCTCATTACTCAGCCAGTATACATTTTCTACCAAAATTGTTTGGCAAATGACATTTATTTTTAATCTTGAACATTCAATGTAAGTTTCGTTTGATTCTGTGAGAATTCATTTTCTTTCTTTTACCAGAACTTTAATGTTGGAGCAATAGGAGTTTCATGGTGTAACAGACAGGACACAATACAAGAATACATTACCAAAGATTATTTAAACATATTTGTGGCTTACACCCAGTAAATAAGATTGAATGATCGATCTGTATTGAAAAACAAGTAGATGCAGGTTCAAGCCCCGCTGGTTCCAAAATTTTTTCTGACTTGTTTTTCAATACAGATCGATCAATCAATCTTATTTACTGGGTGTAAGCCACAAATATGTTTAAATAATTGAAATTTCTCCCAGGAAGCATTACATCTATAAAATTATCAAACATGTTTTGTTGTTTTTTGTGATTGAATTAACAGGCAGAATCATAGCGAGATTGAGAAGAGACGACGAGAGAAGATGAATACCTACATACAGGAACTGAGTGCTATGGTACCTACATGTAGTTCAATGTCATCCAAGCTTGATAAACTTACTATACTACGAATGGCTGTACAACATATGAAAACGTTGAGAGGTAAGGAGCACTTGTATTTTTTGAATTTTTTTCCTTCTGTTTATATTGTTATTTCTGAAAAATTAACAGAGTAAAATACAATACAATAAAGTCATTTCTATAGCGCTCTTACAAACTAACTGTTGTTTCACAGCGCTTTACATAAAAGTTATCAAAGAATCTATTGTTGATCATGGTCAAAGAGGAGAGTTTTGAGACATTTTCGGAAGACATCCAGCAAAGGTGCTAATCGAATAAAACGTGGAAGCTCATTCCAGAGTCGAGGAGCACATGCATGGAAAGCATTGTCGCCAGCTTTGGTGTACATATGTATGTTCGAGGAACGTGTAGCAGGATGCTGTCAGTAAAAGCAACAATAAAATATATAATATCATCTTAAAACTACAAAACACGCACCCGCTCATGAGGAGCACTTGCATTTGAACTTTATGCACTGAAACTAGCTGTATCACTGAAGATAGAGATTGAAAAAATTATGATATACAGTGATACCTGTCTATGGCAGACCTTCCAACCCGTACGATTTAGTCGTATTTTGTACGATTTTTAGAAGCATCTAGGACAGTATGATTTTCAAAAAAACATTTAAAAAATATTAAAAAAATAGTATATAGTGTGTGTGTGCCATTTTCAATGGTAAAATGCCAATCCTGTCCTGTAAAGTATCCTACAAACATCTCACATAGGAAATTTGGGGATGTTCATTGGTTCATCGAACACACCAGTCAAGACGAAATCATGCATATATTCAACCAATGATTCTTAAAAAAAATTCTTCCTGTATGTAGGAACTGTCCGAGGCATTGATCCGCGTAACAGTCCATGTTTATTTTTAAGAATACAACTTTTGTCCGTAAAATACAACTTTTGGGATTAAAGAATACAGTTTTTGAACTCCAGAGGTTGGCAGGTCTGCTATAGAGACCACTCAAGGGAGACAAGAAAAAGCGTATTCATAAACAGGTTGTTTTTACATGTATGTACAGGTTGCTTAAATTATTACATGTTTCAATAAGAAAACATTTCTAAGAAAACATAAAAATGTGGCCTTTATAGGTCGGTGGTCTTTCTAAATAGGTGGTCACTGAAGCAGGTTTGACAATATAATTAAAATGTTAATTAATTTCTTTTGTTCAGGGGCTTCAAGTTCTCGTAAAGAAGCAAACTACAAGCCATCTTTCTTGTCAGAAGATGACCTTAATCCTCTTATTCTGGAGGTAAGTCAAATGATTTATTTTAACTCGGTAGGCTATTTCCCTTACATAATCAAATTTGATGCATCCAAGTTTTTTGAAGTACCTCCCTACGAATCATTTCTTTCACCTGTTACAAATAATAGTATTCAATAGAATGTGAAGGGTACGTGTACATTACATGTTGTTAGGTAGGGCAAATCATAATTGAAGGGTTTGGCTGACCTAACAACAACTGCATTAGGCACGGCTTCATCATCTCGAGATTGGCAAATAGCCTGCTATTTCTGATTTGGGAAATATCCCGAAGTTACGAATCAAGTCCTCATCAGCTCGAGATTCGACCTCGAAACTTGAAACTCGACCTTGAGAAATTAGCTCGAGATATTTTGCTCAGAGTCCGCGCATTGTGCGAGTCTTCGGTCTGGTGAAGACGCACAGGACAAATAGTTGAATTTTTGCCAAAAAGTGGGATATTTTGCAAACTATCCCAAGATATCTTGGGATGACAATCCCGACCAAATATCCCGCTAATTGCAACTTCGGGCTGATGAAGACGCAAAGTAGCTGGATAGTTTGGATATTTGGCAATCTCGAGCTAGTGAAGACAGCCTACTGGTTCCAAGATTTTTCTGACTTGTTTTCAATAATACGATTGAGCTTATTCTAGCCATTGATGATGGTTTAGACTAGAGTTTCTGATTTCTTAGGCAAGTGTTTTCAAAAGCTAAGCTTTTCTGATTGAACAATGTACTGTATTTATGTTTGGATTCACAGATAAGGCTCATCTTATAGTGAGTGAGTTCGTTAACATGCATGTTGACCTAATTTACAATGTACATACACTTAAAGTTAAATATATTACTCATTGCGGATATAGTAGATTTTATTGAATAAGTCATATGACTATTCAGATCTTCAATCAAATTATTTGATCGAGATGTACAGTGAAAAAAGGTATGATTTAACAGCCCCTCCCGCCCCCAAAAGATCTACATGTACCTCTGACATTATCGGTGGTTTAGGCTAAATTTTAAAAAAAACATGTTTAGCGTCCTGTTTTTTCGAAAAATAGGAAGGAGGAGGCCCTTTTTTTTTTTTTTTTTCTTTCAAATTGGCCGCTCAAAATGGCCGCTCGGTACATTTTTCCAGACAATCAGGCTATTTTTCAAGATGACCGTCAGTAATTTTTTTGTTTTTTGTTTGTAACAGAAATAGATAATTTTAGCAGTATGTTTTTCATGTTGTAATTCATTTTTAAATAAAAAAAATAAAAAATAAAAAAAAAATAAAAAAAAAATAATTAAAAAAAAAAATATAAAAAAATAGGAGGCGGCCCCCAAAAAGGAAGCGGGCAGGGACCCTAAACATGTATATTTTTTTTACTTGGCCTTAAGATAAGAAGATATGCGTTTCCAATGCTATTGTAACTTGACAATTCATCAACATTTCCATGCATAGATTTGATGTAGATGATAGTGACATAATGTGCTTGGTTGTGTGTATCCATTGCCTGCAGGCTGCTGAGGGATTTCTCTTTGTCGTAAGCTGTGACCGTGGGCGGGTGCTTTACGTTTCTGAGTCCGTACTCAACGTCCTCAATATAACATGGGTGAGTAGTAAGCAATATCAAAGATACAGGTTACTGATAGGCGGCAGAGAGATGGAGAGATTGGAAAGAGAGGTGGAGAAGGGGTGTGCGTGGGAGGAAGAGAGATGGAAAGAGGGTGCGTGGGAGGAAGAGAGATGGAGAGAGGGTGCGTGGGAGGAAGAGAGATGGAGAGATTGGAAAGAGAGGTGGAGAAGGGGTGTGCGTGGGAGGAAGAGAGATGGAGAGATTGGAAAGAGAGGTGGAGAAGGGGTGTGCGTGGGAGGAAGAGAGATGGAGAGAGGGTGCGTGGGAGGAAGAGAGATGGAGAGATTGGAAAGAGAGGTGGAGAAGGGGTTGTGCGTGGTAGGAAGAGAGATGGAGAGAGGGTGCGTGGGAGGAAGAGAGATGGAGAGATTGGAAAGAGAGGTGGAGAAGGGGTGTGCGTGGGAGGAAGAGAGATGGAGAGATTGGAAAGAGAGGTGGAGAGGGGTTGTGCGTGGGAGGAAGAGAGATGGAGAGAGGGTGCGTGGGAGGAAGAGAGATGGAGAGATTGGAAAGAGAGGTGGAGAAGGGGTGTGCGTGGGAGGAAGAGAGATGGAGAGAGGGTGCGTGGGAGGAAGAGAGATGGAGAGATTGGAAAGAGAGGTGGAGAAGGGGTGTGCGTGGGAGGAAGAGAGATGGAGAGAGGGTATGTGGGAGGAAGAGAGATGGAGAGATTGGAAAGAGAGGTGGAGAAGGGGTTGTGCGTGGGAGGAAGAGAGATAGAGAGACGGTGCGTGGGAGGAAGAGAGATGGAGAGAGGGTGCGTGGGAGGAAGAGAGATGGAGAAAGGGTGTGTGGGAGGAAGAGAGATGGAGAGAGGGTGCTTAGGAGTAAGAGAGATGGAGAGATTGGAAAGAGAGGTGGAGAAGGGGTGTGCGTGGGAGAAAGAGAGATGGAGAGATTGGAAAGAGAGGTGGAGAAGGGGTGTGCGTGGGAGGAAGAGAGATGGAGAGAGGGTATGTGGGAGGAAGAGAGATGGAGAGAGGGTGCTTAGGAGTAAGAGAGATTGAGAGATTGGAAAGAGAGGTGGAGAAGGGGTGTGCGTGGGAGGAAGAGAGATGGAGAGAGGGTGCTTAGGAGTAAGAGAGATGGAGAGATTGGAAAGAGAGGTGAGAGGGGTGTGCGTGGGAGGAAGAGAGATGGAAAGAGGGTGCGTGGGAGGAAGAGAGATGGAGAGATTGGAAAGAGAGGTGGAGAAGGGGTGTGCGTGGGAGGAAGAGAGATGGAGAGAGGGTGCGTGGGAGGAAGAGAGACGGAGAGATTGAAAACAATGGAAAGAGAGGTGGAGGGAGGGTGTGTATGGGAGAGAGATAGTTGGAGGCAGTGAGAGAGAGAGAGAGAGCGAGAGCAAGAAGGAGAGGGAGAGCTTGAAAGGGAGAGAGAGTGATAGAAAGAGAGATGGAGTGATTGGAAACAATGTAAAGAGAGGTGGAGAGAGAGTTGGAGGCAGTGAGAGAGAGAGAGAGAGAGAGAGAGAGAAAGAGGAAGACAAAGAAGAAGGAAGAAGGGAGGGATAGAGTGAGAGAGCAAGAACGGGATTGGAATGGAGAGAGGACAGAGAATGGGAGGAAGAGGGACAAAGAGAGGAAGAAGGAAGAAGGAGGAAAGAGAGAGATAGAGAAAAAGAGAGAGAGAGAAAAAAAAATAAAGATGCAGGAAGGGAGGGAGGGAGGGGGAGAGAAGGGATAGGGCAATGATAATGAGCACTGGAATGTTTATAGCTTTTCAGTGGAGAGAGATAATAATACTCACATTAATAATGCGCCTCATACTTTGTTCCTAGGCGCAGCACATATAATAATAAAATAATAATACATGACATTTATTAGGCGCTCAATATGGGTTTCTCTAAGGGTACCATTGTCTGACTAAAATTATTAATCAAAACTTATAATAGACACAAATCATAAATCTGTTTTTTATTCAATAAATCATACACACATACAGTATATGTTTAGATATAATAATAAAAATAACGATGAGATATGTGGGGGTAATGCTCATTTAATTGGAAAGGCAGAGCAAGAGAAAAGGAGATACATTCTAAAGAGAGAGAGAGAGAGAGAGAGAGAGAGAGAGGGACAGAGGGAGACTAGGAGAGAAAAGGAAAGGGTGAAGGCGAGATGCAGATAAAGAGATCAGACACTGAGAGGTCATCTTGAAATCAGACACATGATGCGAGGGTGCTTGAATAAATGTTGAATGTGTTATCTGTCGGGACACAGAACGGTGTAAGCTCTTTGGTAATTATAGATGAACAGTCTATGAGTAATGTGCCCTATGGCTCATAAAAGATGAAATATTCTCATATATGATAAAAAATAATTGTATTTAATTCATTTCCATTTAATTAATATTTCTGAAATGTCAATTACCTCACATATATTATCTCATTGAACCGTGTATTCTGTACAAATATATGTTGTATGTACAGTATGTATTAATAATAATAATGATATTTAATTTTTATATAGCGCTTAATATTTCATGCCCTGCTTTGGCAGATCATTTGTCCTGGGCCACATTTGATTTATTGTGATATATCTCTGTGTAACTATGATCTATTTGTACCACCGTCAAGTTAGACTATGAAATGAATGCTGATGATAGTGTGCATATATATATACATGTATATTAGATAGCTTAGACAGGTACCGAAATGTGATTGGTCCAGAGCTCATCACGTGATATTAATTGCGAGGATCCAAATTGTTATATTTTCCTGGTTGGTTATATTTTACCAGCCGGTGAAATGAATATATTTCTAATCAATGTATTTCGCCCTCTTGAGGACTGTATGTCACCAATGACACACATTACACCATTACTGAGGGTCATTTTTTTTTCAATACTTTTTTTTCATGAATTTTTTCTTTCCCCTTGAAATTATTTTTCCACATTTTTTTTTCACCAATTTTTTTTATTTTTATGAGAATTTTCTTTTTTGCTCTTCTTTTCCTTTTTTGATTGTCCCTGAATAAAAATATTTCGGGCAAAAAAAAATAAAAATGGACCCCCCCCCCCCCCCAATAACATTCTTTTGGATCTGAAGGGAGTTATATTTTCCCTCAGCGCTGCGCGCTTTGGGAAAATATAACCACTTGGGAAATATAACTCCCTTCAGCAGTCCAAATAATGTTATATTACACCCCTGCCAGTCAATAACTGTATAATATTGAAAAGTGTATGATGGATACATATAGTCAGTTTGGAGCCAGAAAGGAATACATGTATGTCCCATTTGCAGGCCCAAAAAATGAAAAGGTTAAATTCCAACGGCATTTGAAAGATAACGCTAATTTAGAACTTCCCTACAAAGAAGGGGGCTTGAAAATGTCTTTAAGTGGGAAAATATTGAGTTGTCGAATCGACTTAAGAGCTATAGAGCCAGTAAGTAATAGTCTGATTTTCAGACCATTGTTACTAATGGTCGTACGTTTAATGCTGCACAAAGATTCAATCAGTTTAATTTTGGCCATTACAAGTTGGTTATTGATGTAGACAAATGCTCATGTACCATTTACAGGTCATTTTATGAATGTTATTACCAAATAAGATAAAAAAAAGCCAGTCAGTCACTCAATAGTGTCTGACAGTGAAGTCTAGCAAGTAAACAGGTTTCCTTGCATAATTTGAATATTAGGACACTGCTAACGTTTAAATTTCACAGATAGAACATACATGACATATTCATAATTCCTGCAATGTTCTACAGAATTTGATGTTGGCTGCAAAAGGGACATAGTACATGTATCTTTAACACAGAATTAACGCCCTTCCGGCTCAGAACAAACAATTTACCTTTGTGTTACCGTATCTCATGCACAAGAAACTAAAACTTGATTTTAATCTTTATACCGTAGGAACGTTTGATTGGTCAGAGTCTCTTCGATATCCTTCATCCTAAAGACATCCCAAAGGTCAAAGAGCAACTCTCATCATCTGACCTTTCACCTCGAGAACGCTTCATTGATACCAAGAGTAAGTGTTTTTAAACATTTTTTTTTCCTCTTTGATAAAATCATCTTTATTCAATATTGCTTTCGACTTTACAAAACATATATGAATATACATACATAATATAACCAATAGAATCAACAACAAGAATATAGCTGATTATACAAGATAAATATTTTTTTAAAGCAACTCAATGTTTTTCCACCTATTATCAAATGATACAAATTTGTTATTATTAACATAAATGTATTGTTCAAGAGAACGATAATCCCGTAACATGCAATTAAAAGAATTTAGTGAGAGTATGCTATTTTTGCATTTGTTGGAAAATATACAGTATTTGGCATATAAAATAATAAAATTAAAATTAAATTGTTTTCAAACATGCTGCACATGTCTCGAGTCTTAATAACACACAGACAGTGAGTTCACATAGCACCTTTGCTGCATGCAGCTGCTTTTTGTCATCCCTGTTTCCATTTATTTACTTGTTCCTTTCAAGACGGTCATTCCACATTTTGTGGTTTAATACTGTTGTTTCAGAGCCTTAAAAATGAAACCAAATGCACGAGTAGAAAGGGCCAAGTTTCTGCACATACTGCATCCATTTTTGTTGAATGTCCATATTGGGTTTGATGCAATTAATTTTAAAAAGGAAAGTCAGCTTCAAAATACAATAGCAATACATTGAGAGGTTCAAAGGTTTTCTATCAAAACTGATAATTTTTCAACTTTTCGACAAGGATCTTACCAATATATATTGTTTTGAGAGACATTTTATTTCATTAGATTAATGTAGCATTTAATGACAAAATCATGATAGCCAGTTTGAAGAACAACATGTGGTGATCAATTAAATCTTTAAAGGCATCGTTTAACAATGTTAAATCTGAGATGCACGGCCCTACGTGTTATCAGTGTCTCTTATATGGTGTAATATCGAAGCCCTAAACAAATCTCGCTTCAAAATGATCAAGAAGTACCTCAAAAAAGTAAAAATCTTTGAGTGACCGGTTTTACCATACTCGTTTCCCAATAGACTGTAGTGTTATGAAAACCGTTTGGCAAACGGTTTTCAAAATTTGTAATTCCAATCATAAATATCTTGATAATCAGACAGGCAATCGGCTTGTAAAAGTCATGGGGTTCCTGACTGACTTAAAGGTTTATAATTATCATTGCAGCATGAGCTAAATCCAGGATTTGTTTCAGAATCTGAGACAAAGTCACCGGATCCCTTTAAAAAAGTTCTGTCCTGAGAAGGTTACCAAAGACGTTTCCTTCATCATATGTGAACAAGCCATAACTGGTCTCTCGTTGTCATGTGTTACAGCCGGTATGTTGGTGAAATCTGAGATGACGATGTCTCCTCCTCAGCTGTCCTCCGGAGCACGTCGTTCATTCTTCTGCAGGATGAGGATATATAGCCCCGAGCATGCGGTCAAGACGGAGGATGGTCAGCAGTGGAAACGACTCAAGCAACCAGCAGGTATAATGTACTGCTACCCCCAGGGGGGTGTTTCACAAAGATCCTAAGTTGAACTTATCTCTAAGTTGGACTTGAAAATTATGGAAAGCCGTTGGCATCTTTGAAAATATTTTGTAAAATTTATTTTGAAAGGCATAAAATGTTGATTCAAATCTTTCATATTTTCTATCATCAAGGAGATTTCATGTTCTGGTTGTGTAATTTATAAAAAGTCTAAAATACTTGAATTTCTGCTTTTGAATATATGTCATTTTAAGGCTCCAATGGCTGTCCATAATTTTTAAGTCCAACTTAGTGTTAAGTTCTACTTACGATCTTTGTGAAACCCCCAGTTCTTATATAGTGCTTTTCAGGACCAAAGGCCCTCTCAAAGCGCTTTCCAGATATATACCCCGGTCATCGGATTCAGGCTTACCAACACATGTATGATGATGATGATGATTATGATGATGATGATGATGATGATGATGATGATGATGGTGATGGTGATGGTGGTGGTGATGATGATGATGATGATGGTGGTGATGATGATGAAGATGATGATGGTGGTGATGGTGATGATGATGATGGTGATGGTGATGATGATGATGATGATGATGATAGTTATTATAATATATGCACCTTGTGACTTGGCATGCAATTTCATTTCCTACAATTTAAAGAACTTTTCCCATCTCTTTTCCCTTTCACTCTTCATATTTCAGATCGTAAGAAGTATGCAACGATACACTGTACAGGTTACTTGAAGAGCTGGCCTCCAGGGAAGGTGGGGTTAGACAAGGATGAGATGGAGGTGGATATCGATGGTTGTAATCTTAGCTGTCTGGTTGCAGTAGCCAGAGTACAGGTAAACTCATACTAACAACCATTTTATATCCAGTTCAGTTCAGTTTCAGTTTCAGTTTCAGTTTTATTTTTCATTTCCAACAGAACAGTAATTATGACAAGAAATATACAATTCAACATTCAATAATGTAATACATTTTACATGGTTTAAAGTTGTGAAATAGAAAGTATACATAATTATCCAGTATAATGGGTTTTTAATTGTTTTTCTTCTTAAAGATAAACCTGTGGAAATGGAGGGATCCACTGAAAAGCAGAGCTTGTAAAATGTGGATCCCTCAAAATAATGACAAAGATAATTTGTGTAACATGTAAATATATCGACTTCAAAAAACATATATAAAAGTGAAGCAAGGAAACACACTTTTTCTGCAGTTAATGACTACCATATTTGCCCGTATTGAGGTATGAATATTAAATAGATAAGCATCTAGTAATCCTTTCTGATATTCAGCTACTCCTTTCTCTCTCCCCTATCTCTCTACTCAATCTGTCTCTCTCTGTCAAGAAAGTGCAGAATTTAGTCCAGTAATATGCACGATCAAAGGTTATCAGTTTTTGTTACCGGTAGTATTCAATATTGAATTACATGCATGCTGTTTTCCTTCATGGTTTTCCTTCTCCTTTCTCCTATTTCTTTATTGAAAAAAAGACACAGAGACTGCGTCATTGGTGTTTTATGCTTCATAGAAACACAGAATTATTACTAGTTGAGCTGTTGAGTGGGATTTTGTTTGCGTCTTTGTTATGTGCATTTCAGATTGCACCTACACAGTAATCTAGCTACAGTGTATTATTCATATGAATCTTAGTTTTGATTGACTTACATTTATATTTTGGTTGTTTTTTGTGTACTGTTTGAATGTGAGCTTGAATATTTCATTGCTTGTGATCTTTCACTTATAAAAACTAGGTGCAAACCACAACACAAATGGACTAAATAGTTTTTAGGGTATTTACTCTTTCCGCTCATATCTATTGTGTAAGCAGTATAGAAATGATGCATGCTGATGAGGCTGTGTGTATTTATTGCACGAAGCCGTTACGATAGATACACACAGCATCAACGAGGACGGATAGATTGTATAATGAACGAATGAAAACATGCATCATTTTTTTTATACAACGAAACTCTTAGATTCTTGTTATTTGATGTAAAAAGAATTAATTCAAGATTGTTTCGTGACAGTATATGGCTGACAAATAAATCTCAAGTTTGATAAGGCTTAATTTAGTGCGCAAACATAGCTATAGATATAGAGCAAGCGCACTAATTATCTCTATACCCATTTATGCATAGTGCTTCGCAAGAATTGGCGCATGCTCACGCAGTATTAAGCGCTCTAAGCTCTACGCGCACTACTCCGCTCTGAAAACAAGTTCAATAGTACTGGAAAATATTGCACTCCTTTTCATGAAAACAAGTGCAATAGGCTCAGTAAATGAATCACACGTGACTGCGCATGACCAAGCATTTGATTAGGATCTGGGAGTGAGTTGTATAATAGTATTTATCAAGAGATCAAGTATTAAAACATGCATAATTGATATTTGTTCTGATTTATTTATTTGTTCTAATGGGTACCCGGTAGGATGCGAAACTTAATGTTGTTAGATGAGTAAGTGTGCACTTAAATGACGCCTGGCTGGAAGGCTCCCCAGGGAGTGGAGAAATGTACATACATTGTGTGCGGGCAAGCCTGAATCTAATGATTGGGCTAATAATATATTTGTAAAGCGTCTAAGAGACGTCATCGATGTATTAACAGGCCTGATAAAAACCTGAATCGGTTTAAATCGGTTTCCTGACTATCATTTTTTTCCTGATTTTTTTTCTTATTTTTTTCTTATTTTTTTCTTCCCAATTTTATCCTGATTTTCCTGATTTTTACCCTTATTTTCTCCATTCTTCCCTATCTTTCCCTATTTTTCCTAATTTTCTTACTCAAATCCTGTTTTCTTTTTCTTTTTTACTCAAGGGGGGTGTGGTTGAGGGAGAAATTAAACATTTTTTTTTTTAGTGCTCACTATCACCCTTGATTAAGCGCTATATAAAAGCGAAATATTATTATTATTATTGAATAAATCAATTTGTTTCTGTTGCCTCTTCCAGACTATTCAAAGCCCGATGCTTTCCACCAACAATAACATTCAACTCAAACCCATTGAATTTGTCTCAAGGCATGCTATGGACGGCAAGTACACCTTCGTAGATCAAAGGTTAGTCAATGGTTCCGTGCGATTTCGTCTTTTTCTCAAATATGTTAGTAAACTGAGGTGACTTAAGCTCATCCAAGCCAGCTATTCTCCACTCATAAAGACGGGTAGTCAACCTGTTCGGAATGTCGAGCCAGATGATGTGTACTTTTGCCTAATAATTCTATTTTATGATGAAGATAATGTTTAGTTTTGCCTAATAATTCTATTTTATGGTGAAGATGATGTGTAGTTTTGCCAAATGATTCTATTGCATGATGAAGATGATGTGTAGTTTTGCCTAATAATTCTATTTTATGGTGAAGATGATTTGTAGTTTTGCCTAATAATTCTGTTTTATGGTGAAGATGATTTGTAGTTTAGCCTAATTATTTTATTTTATGGTGAAGATGATGTGTATTTTTGCCTAATAATTCTATTTTATGGTGAAGATGATTTGTAGTTTTGCCTAATAATTCTATTTTATGGTGAAGATGATGTGTAGTTTTGCCTAACAATTCTGTTGTATGGTTGTTTTTGGTTTCAGGGCGACTGCTGTAATGGGATATCTACCTCAGGAACTTTTGGGTACCTCATGTTATGAGTACTATCACATAGATGATATATCTAGCATGGCAGAGTATCATAAAACAGGTATGTTTTGAGTACTATCACATTGACGATATATCTATTATGGAAGAGTATCATAAGACAAGTATACTATTATGTTTTAGATATAATATACCTCTCTTTAGAAATCTAGCCATCTGATTGGTTGAAATTGCAGTCATCATTTAGCCATTCCCCTCATACCCACCTACCAGTCAATAGTCTTTTAAAAAATGCCCTCATGCTGTGATCCCCATTGATTTACGTGTTAAAATTGTCTTTGTGCGAGCGCGGACACCATACAGTGCTTTTTATCTGCGATTCCCAAATTGTTGAAGCTCTCAGTCATTTTTCCAGCGAAGATTAACAGACAGTTTCTCAGATTTTCTGTGATGTTTTAACCAATCTTTACTCAATAAAAGGATAAGGTAAGTATTCTTGCTAGATTTTCGGTTCAATTCGGCTTATAAAAGACATATCAACTGCTTTGATATTCAAGGTGTGGTTGCTTTATAGGCTCTCGGAAACGTGCACATCGCGCCTCATGGCAGGATGTGCGCACGTTCCCTTGAGCCTCTAAAACAGCCAGGCTTCTCAAAGCAGTCGATATCTCTATACTATCACATGGATGATATTATTAAGTGAGTACTATCACATGGGTGATATCCATTACAGCAGAATATCATAAAACAGGTATAGTATTATGATATGAATACTTTCACAATGATAGTATCTCTATCATGGTATAGTATTATACAGTGCTTCCAGCTACCCTTGAAATCAGGGAAAATCTGACAAAAATTCTTTCTTTGTCTTTAGAGAAAAATCAGGGAATTGAAGGAAAACCACTCAAATCAGACAAAAAAAATCAGGGAATTTCATAGGTTTCTTAAAGAATGTGGTCCGTCTCCTGTATTTGAGGAGAAGTCATCCAGAGTTGTTTGTAAAACAGGTTTACAATCTATGTTGCTATGGTGAAAGTCTTTTTCTTTCCATGGGAGTACTATCAAATCATCCATGAAGATGAATGGAATTAATGCATTTTTCTAATGCCTTCAAATTAATAGATGCCCTTTTTCTGTTCTCCTGTAGACAGTTTATTTTATGTTTGAAAATTGCAGACTTCCCTGATTTCTGATTTTGTAAACCCTTCAAATCAGGGGAGCGTTTCACAAAACTTGTCATCAATGATAAATGACAGTTTTGTTATAAGCTACTGAAATCCTTGCTTCTGATTGGTTATGTACAGATATGTCACTGATTTTTGTCATTTGTCATTGAAAAAGGGCTTTGTGAAACGGGCCCCAGGACATCTGATATTCTGATTCTGAAACTGTAAAAAAGGAAAGTCTTGTGTGCATGACAGTTATGGAATTTTCCAATCAGTTCAAATTTTGTGAAAGTACCTTATGATTTTTTGGTTGTGAAGCAGTTTCCATAGTGATGACTAACTTCCTGTATGGCATTTATTCTTTACAGTGTTGTCAAGTAAAGAGAAGATCCTTACAACTTCTTATCGCTTCCGAGCTAAGAACGGCGACTTTATCCTTCTCCGATCCCGAATGTTCACCTTTCGCAATCCGTGGACCAAAGAGATTGAATATGTCGTCTCTACAAATACATTAGTGTGAGTTTGATTGAATGATGTTTGGGAGAATGAATCAGTTTTCAGCTTTGACTTGAACAATTTCTACATGCATATTACTTCTACCTAATACTACTACTACCTACTACTACTATAACCACTACTATTACTATCACTACTGCTAATAATGATAATAATGTAATGTTATATGCTCTTATATTATTTCTTGCTTCTTGTAGAAACAAAGACGAAGCGGTTGCGTCTAACAGCAATGAATGCGGTCCTACTACCAAGGACCAAGACTCTTCGCAGCTGCAGTCTCTGATCACCAACTTGAGCAAGTCGGCAGCTATCCCTGGTGTAGCTACCAACAACACTCATATGGGAGCAGGCAAGATTGGATGGAAGATAGCTGAAGAGGTCATAGAAGCTGAAAGAGTGTGAGTCAAACAGGACCTAGGATAGAACCTTGTGGTACACTGTGTGTAATAGAAGAAAAATTGGAGGAATTATTATAAACTACATATTGAGATCTATTAGAAAAAATTACTTTCAAACCAAGATGAGAGACAAGTTTGAATGTTGTTCTAGTTTCCGAGTGATGAGTCAACACACCTCCAGTAAACCCTTAACCCTATTTTAACCGGGGGGGGGGGGGGGGGGGGGGGGGTATAAAGTTTCCTTTTTATGACTTTTTTCTTTTGAGTCTTACGCATCTTTTAAAACAATATTTTTGAAAATCGAACGTATAGGTACAAATTCACGTGACCTTTTGTCTTTGCATATCAGCCCTAGGGGGGGACAGGGGGGGGGGGGGGGGGGTAAAGACGGGGTCAATTAACCAATGGAGAAATAAAACAAACTGTATAGACTTTGAAAACGTTTTTATTCACCATGGATCAAAATTTAGTAAGAACAGCAATTGAAGAGAAAAGCGTATTGTCACCATTAATGCTACCTTCATCTAATGTTTTATCATTTTCGCTGTATAGGAACGAAGTAACATCGAGTGGTTGGGAGTCCAAGGATGCCAGCCCTGTCGTGGTAGATTCTCTAGGCATCACTGGAGAAGCTGTATCATCCATAGGATCTGATAGCAACAAGGGATCTTCAAGGGAGGTCCACAGCAGCAGCAGCAATCCTAAACCAGACAAGCTGCCTCCTGCCATCGTCATGACAGGACAGTCCTTCCTCAACAGTGCGTTAGTATGTGGTGATCAGACGGGTAGCAGTGGGAACCTACCCCAGAATCCCTTTGCAGAGATGTCATCCGCTGCTGGGTTATCAACGGCAGCACTCGCTGCGGAACTGAGCACACCAGGTGCTGCTGCAGCCGCGGCGGCCAAGGTCAAAGAGATGGGTGGTGATGATGAAGCCGCGATGGCCTTTATTATGAGCTTGTTAGAGGCCGATGCCGGGCTGGGTGGATCGGTAGACTTCAACGATCTACCCTGGCCCCTATGATCAGATAGAAATCTTCTGTTTGTCCAAACAAACTTGCCTTGAACTGGCCTCTATTATCAGATAGAAATCTTCTGTGTTTGTCCAAACAAACTTGCCTTGAACTGGCCTCTATTATCAGATAGAAATCTTCTGTGTTTGTCCAAACAAACTTGCCTTGTACTGAAGCCAAGCTGTCGTACCTTTGAGCGTCCTAGTGAGTCTTGAATGAATGTCTAGGAAACACCCAACATGTGCTTAGCAGTAGTCACCGTGATGAACCTGAGGAAGGAGATATTGCTCAATGTGTGCCTTCAGACATGCCTCGTTTCTCATAATTTGTGTGTTCTAGTCAAGGACCCTAACAAAGACCCTATATCAGTGTATAGCATCTGGATGAGTGGAAGTATCCCAAGTAACTGACCGCCCTTTCCCATAGCACTTTGCAGATCAACCTTCCTCCAAGTTAGAGTGTGTGTATTTGGTTTTCACAGATGTGTATCAATCAGATATGATTATTTACGTCTGGGGACCGACCTTTAAACGTCACCATCCGAAAGACGTGATTCAGTTTCGAACCTTCGTCCTTGTCTGAATCAGTTTATAACTTCCACTGTTAGCTGGATTACAGGCGCACGCCACAACGCCTAGACCCCACATCCAAACATCTTTATACCAGAGGAGTTCTCTGACTGCCTTATTCTATTGAATGAATTTATTCTGCGAGAAAAAAAATTGATGTAGATAACTATCTTAAATGTTGCACTTGATTACTAGTACCTGTATATGAAAGTCACCATTTGTTATATGTCTTCATGTAATGCGTCAAGCAATCGGTTAATCTTGAGGAAGGGATATCATCATGGTAATGGCATACCGTGAAGTGATGGAGTTTCTGTCATATAGGAACTTTGGAATGGCTATTATGGAACAGAAGATCAGTGGCCCGTTTCACAAAGCCTTTTTTCAATGACAAATGAAAAAAAATCAGTGACAAATCTGTTGGTAACCAATCAGAAGCAAGGATTTCAGTAGCTTATAACAAAAATTGTCATTTGTCACTGATGACAAGTTTTGTGAAACAACCCCCAGGTGTGGCTATATATGTGAGAGTGAACAATCATAAACATTGGATCAACACAGCTGCCTAAGTGCCTAAATCGAATGTGGACGAGAATGGGGCGGTGTAAGGCCAACATGGCAAGATGGGGCTATGCCAATGAAGAAGATACTCTCTGCGACTGTGGAGAGACTCAGACGATGGACCACATCTTGCAGTGCGGCAGAACGGGTTGCACAGATGAAGACCAGGCCCTTGTAAATGAGACGACCATCGCAGCCATCGGGCGATGGAAGAACTTATTTAATTTAATTTAATTTAGGAACTGCACATTAATCTTGATTGAAGGAGACACGAACCAACGATCACAGCTGCCAACCATTCCTATTCTGGAGGAATGGTTCCTATTTTCTTTGGCCCTCAAACTACTATTGTGATCCCTAGCTCAGTCAGTAAAGCAGTGGTCTTGAAATCCGGTAACCCGGGTTGGAAACCAGGTCGGTATGCCTAGTGGCCTTTGGTAAGGCATTAATCCTCATTACCAGGTCCCTTCGAGAGGACCTAAAGTCTTCGGTCCTCTGGTTGCTTACTAACAAGCATTTATGCTTTCTTAGCAGTCAGGTAAAATAACAACCACCACCATAAGTACCTCTATCTTCCTGAAAACTTGTGTGTAAAAAGTATACGAAAGAGAGACTCATTGCATGATTCCTCACCTTTGCTGTGAATGATAGGTAGGCATCGTTCTCACTTGGCATCAGGTATCCACCCAAGGTCTTCATTGGATGAATGGAACCTTTCACACAGGGTCAGAATGTTCCTTCACGCCACCCTCATCAGGCATCAGTAAATTGACATGAGGAAGTCCACGTCTCCTTTACATAAGCGAAAGCACTTGGAATATACCTCCGTATTGAAAGACGTGTACACAAAATTACCAAGTTATATTCATATACGCTCTTTGGTCGTTCTACGCACATAAATTGTTTGATATATTCAGTGTGTGGGCCCAGTTGTGACAAGTATATTGCCTTAAAGATATTTTATGTCCTCACATCGCCATTGAAGTATCTACATGTAAAATCAATGCAAAGGTTGCGGATGATATTTGTGTATGTACATGTATTTTTGTTTGTCCATAGATCGCACAAACAGCCTTTCACATTCATACTCTTGAAATACAGGGATGAAATTGGATGGTTATATAATTACCTAGAATGTTGCAGGATTATTCATATTAGGCAACTACGGTATGCAATTGCATTATGAAAATGCAGTGTATTTTGTAATTGTAAATTGGTAGTCTTCGCGTTTGCGCATGACAACCCCACACATTTCTGAGATTTGCCATAGCAGTATTGTTTTAAAAAACAATCAGTTTAATTTATTGTGATAATTGCAAGTGCAATCAATCACAATTTCATTTGAATTGATATCAATTGGAAGTTTTATAGTTAGATAAAAGATAGGAGATTGTGAAGTCTGTGATTTATTGTCAATTCAGATCAGGGGGGCGTTTCACAAAACTTGTCATCAGTGACCAATGACAGTTTTTGTCATTTGTCATTGAAAAAAGGCTTTGTGAAACGGGTCCCAGTTGTGACTTGTTTTAATATAAGACTGGGTCTGGGTGAATTGCTAACCAGTATTGAGATCTGGTTTCAGAAGTTCTCTGCTGTTGGGAATTTGTCTTTTTCCTTCTTCTTTATCTTCTTCTTATTCGTCTTCGTGTTCTTCTTCCACCTCCTTTTTCTTCCTCCTCCTCTGCATAACATAATATGTTATTACTACCCTTCTCCAATCTAATATGCTAAGCGCCTAGCTAGAAGGCAGAAGGTCGCATTGTTATAAGTCTTTAGTATGACTCGGCCGAGGTTCGAACCCACGACCTCCTGTTTATCGGGAGGGCGCTCTAACCACTGAGCCACCATGACTGTTGCTAATTGTTGATCGACAAGCTTTTTTGTTTGTTTTGCAAAACAGCAACAGTTTGTTTAAATTGACACATCTGCTTGTGCCTGTTATGAATGATAATGCTATCGACTGACTCTTTAATACTTTAAGGGAAGATTGAATTGTATTGCCCTTGATAGAAACATACAGGGTTACCATGGTCAGGTAAAAACCTGGAAATTCATGAAGAATTTGTTCTTCTTAAAGTCATGGAAATCCATGTCAATTAATTTTGGGTGTGGGACGAGTGTGGCTATGGCAGCGTCCATGTTTGAACTGTCAACAGGAGTGGTAGTCGTACACTGCTTGGCTGCCGCAACACATACCATAATGGTTCTTATCTGGTCATTGAAAAGGGCAAAAATGGGTCACTGAAAGTCATGGAATTTGGTTCTTAAATTTCTGTGGGAACCCTGAACATATTTCATTTGTCATTGACTTCAGAAATACTTAGCTGTGGCAATGTAATTCTTTCAAATCACAAATGGTTGTGCATATCAAAAGATTGCATAAGTTTCATGCCACGTAATGGTAGAAAAACAGGAGACATAACAATGAATTTTGGCAGGACATGAAAGATTCTTGCTGTATGTATCTCTGTTATTTCCAATTTTGCAAGAGTTTCCTGTTGCAAATTGTTTTTTTGTTTTGTTGTTATGACCCCTATGGTCTGGTCAATATCATGTGTATTTTATGAACAGTGTAATGAGGATACAACAGAGAATTGTTGACTTATGATTATGCAGCATCATTATGTGTATTGCACTTTTTTGCTAAGAAAATATGAAACTAGACATACAGTCTGGTCCAACTTATTATGTACTAAATAAGTCTATCATCGTCAAAAGCTCAAATGTGTAATCCTTTATAAGAAATCAGTTTGGAAAGAGATATATTTGTAAATACATTGTCAAAGATATTTTATGTAGTGGGTAGCATTTATATACTGGTATCTATTTTGATGATAAGTATTTTGTACACAAAGAATTTTATTCCACTTTCGTCAATTGTTGTGATATATTTAGTGTGTGAACACCAGTGATATAATGTGAGAAGCTATGAGAGGCACGTACATGCCAGGTTTTATTACTCCTGATTCAATGAGCAAGACTCAGTCATAGCTATTGACACACATACTCATATATTTGCAGGGATGACAGTTTTCAGGTTTTGCTACCTTTATTTCATTGTTCAGGTTTTCATACTTTACAGAATGTATGGGGCTCCTGAAATGTATGGATTTCTGTTCCAGTTAAATGAATGAAACCAAGGGATATTCCCGTTTATGGTGCTTCTATTTTGAACAAACAAAGGGCATTAGCAAGGCTGTCACTAACGGGTGCCCAATACATCGGTCAAAACTGCAGGCATGAAATACGCTAATGACTGCTGGGTAGTATAGAGATAAATATCGACCGGGCATAAGTCTGCTCGCACATGTGATAATGTTATGGCTGAACATTTAACAGGGGATTCGTGTGTGATGCTATTTTCTCTATTAATAATAATTCTTTGTTGAAATGTCTTTTTTTGAGAATTGACATGGACATGTGTTATATAAAACAAATACTGTATTAAAGGGAGTGTGTCATGACGATACTATGTGTCTTTCCCGTGGCCCTACCCAGGGCGAATCGGGTATAATACGACTACAGACGACGCGACCGCAGCATTCATGTGCGTGCAACATATGCGAAACCGAACCGAGAGGAGAACTTCGGTCTGTTTTAGCGAACGCTAGTGCACTGACCCAGTTAATCAAGTTCATTCGTTTACGTGCAGTTGTCCTAAAGAAGACGTAGATGGCGTTAACCAGTATTTCCCATGACACACTCCCTTTAACTGCTTATTTTTCAGGTTATGGGTAAAACTGTAGCTCCTCAGTGATCTACAGACCGCACTATGCCCTTCGACCTCATTTCGGGTCTCGGTACAGTTTAGAGATCACCTTGGGTCTTGGTACAGTTTAGAGATCACCTTGGGTCTCCGACTCTCGGTACAGTTTAGAGATCACCTTGGGCAATAGTTTTAATCATGCCCCTGCCTCAAAGCAGTAAATATTTGTATACTATTCCATAGTCAACTCTTATTTTTCATTAATATTCAACTGTTCTATTTTACACGTGTGTGATATCTCAAGGCTTTAATTTTTTTGTATAAATAAAGTATATCATTTGCCTTTACTGCATATGGTGTGCTGGGGGCCGTTTCTCGAAACCAACTCCATGACAGTCATATCTTTGTCGGCGACCTACGGAGATGTCATGAAGTGGATAAACCGTTTCACGAAGCCACGACAGACATGATATCGATATATCGCGATACTAGCAGCTCAAGAACATAGTCTTTGTCACGATCCATTTTATTTATCACGAATAACCCAAAACAAGTTTTGGGGCTAAAATTGTTAAAAAAGAAACATATACATATAAACTCTCCTAAAATAAATAACAAATAGTGTCATTATCAAATGTAGATCATCAAACGATTTGCATATTTCTGTAAAGATTCTTAAATTGAAGAAAAACCGGTGAGTGGTATTTTCTCGACAATCCAATCAAAAGGTAGTTGAAGGATACCGTAATGTGATAATTTATCAATACATACTTTTTTTGTTTATGGTGACGAGGAATTTTAGGCAAAATACCTTTTCTCAGCCAGTTTTTATTGTAGAGTCTCATAAATATTTGTTATATAGTTGATTGGATATTGAGATTGGATATTGAAAATATAATTTGGAAGAAGTTATTACCGGTAGAGAGGTAATAATAATGCACATAGGCCCCAAAGGTATGATGGTATCCTAATAAAAGACTATGGACATCGGTGTGCAACATTCTTATCTATTTTACTTGTATGTTATAGTTTAATGATTTAATTATCATATTCAGCTTTTTAATATTTCTGTATAATTTGTATTATTACTCCTTTACATTTGCATTTCGCATCCCGAAATATTACGTACCGAACTCGTCTATATTTTTCTCAAAATGATAGTGAAACTAATCGTACATTTCGCGGCCCATGGAATAGCAACAAACTGACCTGTGATGGCGCTTTACAGAAATTCAAAAGATATGACGGGTTCGGAGCAGTGACAACTCGCTTGTCACGGAAGTTGTCGCTCATCTTGGCAAAGACGGCTTCGTGAAACACTTGGCTGTCAAGTTGCGTGACAGTGGCGAGATGTCGTTGATCTTGTAGTTATGACGGTTTCGAGAAACGGCCCCCCGGGTATCATAAGGGCATTAACTCTGTGCACCATCTTTTGGTGAATTAAGTTGTACAAAGAGCAATTTCTGGTTCCTGTACCCAAGCATCATCACGTGTGCGTCATCGGTTGGTGATGCATTGTGGGACATTATTGTAGACACATATGGACATTGTGACAAGTCTCAGCTCCCTGGTCTGATCTGGGCCCCGTTTCATAAAACTTGTATCCATAACAAATGTTAAATTTGCAAAAATATATTAAAAAAACAAAATTGATGTAGTAAAAGAAGAATGACATCTCAAGCATTTTATGCATGTATTAAATGCTATGCACTGACTTTATTATTATCTTGGATAAGAAGTGATGATTTTTTTTAATACCGGTAATGTGATGTTGTGTCATATTAAGATGTGTTTTAAGCTGTTATTCATTTGTTTAGTGTTTCCGTGGTAACATACATGAAATTCATATCATGTTGTGTTATTGGGCATAAGTATGTAATTATGTGTTGCAGTGAACATTTTGCATGTTGATTACTTTGGTGAGAGCCAGAAAGCTTTGAAAACATAAGGAAGTTAAAGCTTTTTGAAATGACTAGTCACTAGAGGGCGATATTTAATCTGATGACATCATTTGTGGACAACTCTCCATGCCTTTGTACATCAAATTTCATGTTTTTCCTTCTTTCTTGTGATTGAGATAATCTACTCCCCTGAAAGCATGGTATAGAATGCAAAATGATATCCTACTTCACATGTTATGAAGTCGGATCAAGAACACAAATAAATACGAAGAAAACAAAAGAATTGTGAAATTTGATGTAGGCCTATAAGGCATATGGAGAGTTGTCCACAAATGATGTCATCAAATTGAATATCACCCTCTATTGACTAGTCATTTCAAAAAGCTTTAACTTCCTTATTCCTTGCCCGATTTTGTTCAAATTTTCACTGATTTTATTCAAATATCTTAAACTTTACAATAAAAGTAACTAAGTATGAAAGTTTTGGTTCCCTTTAAAATGTTGTAGTCTGAACGTTAAGAAATGTATAACGAAAAGTTATATTACGTACGAAACCCCTGTTTGAAGCACCATATCTTATGAAAATCATATAACTGGGAGGGTTAATACTTTTAAAACAGAGTTGATACATTGAACTAAAATCATTGAGGGGCTTACGTCGGTACTACAGTATTTTATTAAACTGGAAACGCCAACCACTGATTTGTGATTTTCTTTCCTCTTTAGCCCAGTTTTGGATTAATTTTCTCCATGTACCGTATGTTGAATACTATGTTTCTTTTTACATATAGAAGGGCCTCTCTTCAATACACACAGTATAAATTATATTTGTTTAAAGGAGCTAGTCCATTAAAGCATTCATCAGCTTATACATGTAACAGTATATTGAACCGGATGTGAGACTTGAATGGTAACCAATGTAAGATTCAATATCGAATTGTGTTTCTTTGTGCGTATAACTATAGTTGCACTGCTGAATTCGGGTATTAATTTTTTTTAAAATCATTAGTGACTTACAATCAGTTTTATAATACAAAATACAAAAAATGTAGTATGTTTGTTATGACAAATATGGAAAAATACAATTTGTTTAATT